TACAAGCAGAAGACTAGCTGAAAGAAATGAGTGTTTAGGAGAGAATTGCCTGAGGGCATGTATTGAGGTGATTTTATTTACCAAAGAAGGGATCTAGTCCACATGTGGGGGTTGAGGCACAAACACTAGATGTAGAGGTAAAAGATTTGATAAGGAATCATAGAACTTTTGTATGACTTAGGAAAATATCCAGAGAGAAAAGCCTACAGTTGTGGAAAGATTGAAGCAGTGGAAAAGATCATTTAAAATATAAATTTTTCTGGGCCTATGCACATCATGTTCTACACAAGCTGTCTGTAAGTGACAGAGTATATTGTACATAGTTTTAGACATCTACTTTGATTAGTTCCAACTTTGAAAATGTAAATTGTTACATGCTATTATGTATCATAAATAGTAGCATATAACATGTTATACAGTAATTCCTCATTTAACAAGGAGATACGTTTCAGAAAATGATCGTGCTAAGTGAAAACGTGTTACGTGGAGTCAATTTTCCCATTGAAAATTATGGAAAAGGTGGGGGTTGCGTTTGTGCTCACGGCTCCAGCCTGCACTTGTTAGCAGCTGGGACAGGGACATAAAGTTGGGGGAGAAAGGGAACTGGGTTATAGCAGGGAGGGGAGGTGTTTAGCTCCGGGGAAGGAAAGGGGAGGAGAGGGGAGGGAGCTTGCAGCCGGCGGCTGTTTCCCCCTCAGCAGCTGCACGGGGCTTCCCCTGCCTCCTTGCAAAGCGGTGGAGGTTCACCGCGCCGTTCCCTGGCAACCCCCTCTGTTCAGATGCCTCGCTTCCTCTCCTCCGCCCCCCGCTTGCAGCCGGCGGCTGGGTTTCCCCAGCTGGCCGGTTGCCGGCAGCTACGCGGGGCTTTCCCTGCCTCTTTGCAAAGCGGCGGAGGTTTGCTGCTCGCCGCACTGTTCCCTGGCGACCCCTCCTCCGCACAGCTGCCGGCAACCGGCCGGCCGGTTGGGGAAATCGTGTTATTGCAGGGACGGTCGTGTTGTTCAAAAAATGTTCCCTAAAAAAAAAAATTTTGCTATTGCAAAAACTTGTTTAGTGGACACGTGTTAAGCGAGAAATTACTGTATTATGGTAGTACGTTAGGGACTATACAAATAGGCAAATGACACAGAGCTTATATTCATCTTTCTAAGGAAAACATCCCCAGCCAGTTTTAAAGAACACATTGTCACTTTTCACAGCATTATCTCAAATATGTCAGATAATAAATAAGCTGAGAATTTCCTGCAACCATTTATTTTATTCTTTCCTTCAAAAGATTAACCTTTGATTGTCTGAATATGCGTGTCCCAGGTACAGAATGAATGGCTGATAAAGGACATGGCAATGGCTGTTAGTGCTGAGGAAGTTAAAACAGCCTATGGGAAAGGGCCCAAAGTAATATACGATGAAAGACAGTTCATGATGGAAGGTATTTAATACTTTTTTCCCCCCTCAGTTAAACCCAAAACAAAATGTGTTTATCATCAAGTTACTGTGTTATAGCAATTTAAGGGGTTTTTTAAAGCCACTTATAGGAATATTGTATTGGTAATTAAAAAAAATTGTATATTTTTTTCAACAATGCACTAAATAATAATTGTCATGGTTCAGTGTGGTACGTTCTGTAATTAAAAAAAAATAAATCCCAGTTTTATTAACCCCAGACACTACTGGTTCAATCCAGATGAAGTCAGCAGAAGATTTTTATATATAGTTTGGGGCTTGGCTGATTATTCAGAAGAAGCTAGAACAGTCTAATGAATGAGTAGGACTCATTCTGATATTATTTTCTAGCCAGAAAAGTTGACAGTCTTTATGGGCCCCTGGGCAAGGTGAGGGGGTGGCTCTGTGTTCCCAGAAGGGACAGGGCCAAGGGTAGGTGGCCCTCAGCTTTGCCCAAAGTGTGATGAGCCTGTCTCTAGTTGTTTACTAGAAAATTTTAGCTTGTATAGTGGGAACGCAAGATGATTTAGTAATGGAGTCTTTGTTTGTGTTTTGGGTTCAATCCAAAGCACACTGAAATCAGTGGAAGTACTTGTTTGACTTCAGTAGTTTTTTAATCAGAGCGTTTGCGTTTTGGGCTGCCCACCAATTTGGGACTTCTGTGGTTTTGAAGGTAAACCAAGAGCAGACTTTCATAAGTACTTACTCCTATATGATTTCTTGGTGCTTATTAAATTGATAGATATTTATAATCTCTGGAAAGCTGTTTCAATGTGAGTATAAATTTGTAAATACGTTGCATTTTTTCCTTTCATGTCTTTGCTTATTTTCTTAAGATAAATTCTCAATTAAATTATAAGCGTATTTATTCTACTAGCAATGCACTGTAGCTAACCATTCTGTGTGCTAATGTAATATTTTAAGTCTTTTCATTTAATGCCAATACAAGTTGGACATCTCTTATCTGGTTCCCTTGGTACCTGACTGGTCTTAAACCAGGGAATTAGCCTGACTAGAGAAGGTTCCCTGCCACAGCCCTTAGCCACCTATTCTGCCAGGTGGTGGGGGCACTACCTCTAGTCCCTGCAGGGTTGCTTGCTGACCCCACTGCTGCTGGCCCAGCCAGGCTGCCTGCTGGGCTCCAGCAGCCCGTGCAACCCAATGCTGCAGCAGGCTCCAGCTCCGCGCTGTCATGGGCTGCCCGGGAGGCTGGCTCTGGTCCTGGTTGGGTTCCTGTGTGCTGCCAAGTGCTCGGCTCCAGTCCCAGCCCCGCAGCAGCCTACGGGTTCTGGCTCCACTTTCGTGAGCTGTCCAGTGCTCCAGCCCCACACTGCTGGCGGCTGCTCCAGCCTGAACAAGTCCAACCGTGCTGCTTTAGGCTAATGGGAGCTGCCACCAGCCCTTGCCCTGTCCTTCTGCTTCAGCCCGACTCCTCCTGGGTTGCCCTTCTGCCCCTAGGCTACTGGGATTCTCTGATCCAATAAACTCCGTGGTCCTACTAGACCAGAGAATTCTGGTTTGGGGAAGTGCAACCTGTATTTATTTTATCTTACATGTCGTCCAACCGTGCTGCTTTAGGCTAATGGGAGCTGCCACCAGCCCTTGCCCTGTCCTTCTGCTTCAGCCCGACTCCTCCTGGGTTGCCCTTCTGCCCCTAGGCTACTGGGATTCTCTGATCCAATAAACTCCGTGGTCCTACTAGACCAGAGAATTCTGGTTTGGGGAAGTGCAACCTGTATTTATTTTATCTTACATGTCTGATAGCTCTCATTCAATATATTGCCCATTTGTTGGCAGTTCCTTTTTGTTATTTCTTGTTAAAAATTTTGGTGAAAAAAGTCTATAGCAAAGGATAGACAGTGGGAGGTTATTTTGAAAATAGTATGGGGGCGGTTTGTGTTTTTGTTTCTACTATTTGGAACACAATTATCAGAAGCCCCAATAGAGACTGAGGCCCCATTGTGCTAGCTGGTGTACATATACATAGTAAGAGAGCGCCCTGCCCTCACATGCTCAGAGTGTAGAATACTAGAACTGGAAGAGACCTCGAGATGTCATCAAGTCCAGTTCTCTGCCCTCACGGCAGGACCAAGTACTGTCTAGATCATCCCTGACAAGCGTCTGTCAAACTTGCTCTTAAATATCTCCAGCGATGGAGATTCCACAACCCTCCTAGGCAATTTGTTCCATTGTTTAACCACCCTTACAGGAAGTTTTTCCTAATGGCCAACCTAAACCTCCCTTGCTGCAGTTTAAGCCCATTGCTTCTTGTCCTAAAGGTTACCGTCATGTAATACAGGCCGTCCTCGCTATAAGTCAAAGATACGTTCCAAAAAGCTTGGACTTATAGTGAAACAATGTAAAGTTGGGAATTGTTTTCCCATTGCTGACTTCCACTTGCACAAATTGGGGGGGAGGGAGAGGGGGAGGGTTGAGTGACGTAAGAGCAGGGAATGGGAGGACTTATAACGCATTAGTTCCTACGAGCATCAATGCCTTAAGTGCAGAATGGATGCATACCGGAGTGACTTATAGCGGGGACGCCCTGCATATGCATATTCAGTGAGTAAGGGAACATCCTTCATCCACCCACATGTACTACATTGCAGAGTCAGGGCTTAAATAGACAAGATAAATTAAGCAAAGTAATACCAACTCTATAGAAATTGATTTCTCTTTGGCTCTTAAAATAATTAAAATATACTTTCAGTCCAAATTAGTTTTGCGCAAATAAGTAGCTGCATCCTCACTACTGGTTCCACTTCATTTAGGGTCTCTGCAAGTCTTGAAACAATTGTTCTATGCAACACTTAAGAAAAGGGCTTTTGTGGCAGTCAGCTCAAGCTGTTCTTTTGTGCCTCTGGCACTAAACTCTCTTATGGGCTTGCCAGCCTTTCACTTCCAGCACTAAGATTTTGAACTAGTGACCACTTTTATCAGTCAGTGGTAGGGATGTTAAAATGTGTTTATTCAGGTAAACGTATAACTGCAGTGAGGGGAGGGGGGAAAGAGGCGGAGAAGAGGCTCCCCAAGAGACCCCACAGAGAATGTGTTTTTAAGCTGGCTCCCCTTGTCCTCTCTTCCTGCGCTGCTGCTGCCTCTGTATCAGGCAGGTAGCTCTGGTATGCGGCTGATACAGAGGCAGCAGCATGGGGTGGGGCCTGCGTGTAACCGTGCATGTTAGCCAATTATGTACACGTTTACACTTTCACATCCCTTGTCAGTGGTCCGATGTAATAACCAAAAGCCCAGGTAAAATTGCTGCTATTCTTACAAAGGAAGTTTTAAACAATTGAGGGGAGGAGGGAGAAGAAAGGATAGTTCTAAATTTGAATTGATTTGATGTATAGACAGAAGGACAGAACTTTAATAAACAAAGGCTTATTAATGATTCATGAGTGTTTTTTTATTGTTACTACTCCAGTGCTACAGATTTATAAACCCATGTCGTTTGACTCTTACTCTAACCAGAAGTGTATCCTAAGGACCCAGTTGTGGCTAGGGGTGTAAAATCTCAGTTAATTGGTTAATCGCTTAAACCTTATGTTTAACCAGTTAACCAATTAAGTGGGATTCCACTCCAGCTTCTCTCCCCCCTGCCTTTGGGGGCTGTCGCTGCCAGCCCTTCCTCCCCCTCTTCCCCTCCTCCTCCCATACACAGGGTGGCTGTTTTCTGCTCCCAGGCCTCCCACGCAGGGCAACTGACTCCCAACTCATGCAGGACTGCTCCTGGATACTGGTTAACCGGTTACCCATTCACATTCCTAATTGAGGCACACAGTAGCAGTCTTTATACCCTTCCTACTTGCGCATACATTGGGTGCCAGGTTGTCCACCATTTTGTTTTCCCAGCTGGCTGTCTTCCTGGGGGGTTGCAGCACTTTGATATGGGGCTGGCCATATCAAAGTCTTCCCATGCTGTCTTCCCAGCTCAGCATCCAAAACATACGTGGTGGGGGTGATTGCAGCACTTTGATATGGGGCTGGCCAGCATTTTGTCTTCCCAGCTCAGCATCCGAAACATACGTGGTGGGGGTGGGGGAAGTGGCACGGGAGCAGATGCTCTAAATTAAAGGGGATGCAACAAAAGTTCCTGGCATGGTGTGTGGTTGTGTTTTTTGGTTTTGGGGTTTTTTTTGCTCAACAAAAATTTTCTCTAGGGATCGTGAATGAAAAAAGGTTGAGCACCACTGACCTAAAGTGCAAAGGAGCCTGTGTAAGACCAACTACAAAAAAGGCCTTGCACAGAAGACCCCCTACTTCAAGGTATAGAGTCTGCTCTTTCTGCTCACGTCTTGTTTAACAGAAGATTCAGGAATGCTTTTGATGCATGGGAAATGGGTTAGCCAAAGGTGGGAAGGGTTGATTTGAAAGTGACCTGGTGTGAGGCCAAAGCAAACTTCTCTTTCTGCCTTTGCAATGCCTCTTAGGCATTCTGTGCAATAGGGGCACCAGTTAGCATACCCCATGGTATTGCCGTACTTTGTGCCATGTGGCAAACCAATCCATAAAAAGTCTCTGAACAGAGAGAAGTTATCTTTTCTCTCTTGTTGAAACAGCACTAATATTAATCTCTACTTGAGTCATGTGTATCTCTTTTTGCGCCCCTTACATGCAGTTATGCTCTTTGAAAATGTTAGCAAGCAAGAAGTTCCTGATGTTCCCAGATACAACAGTCAACATCAAATGTAATATAAATTAAACAGGAGAAATATTTGTTAATTAACAGACAAAACAAAGAGAAAGCAAAAAAAAAGGGGGGGGGGTGAAATGCACATACCTTATCTTGGAAACTAAAGTAAAGCTCTGTAAGTTGACATTCAGGTTATGGAGAAATGTAGAGGAAAACAGATGCTCCCATTGAGTTCCATAACAGACCACAGTTTTGATTTTATTTAATCTGTTATCATTTTCATACCTCCTTTTCTGTATCCTGTCATTTAAAAAAGCATTGGTGTCACCTTTTCAGTAAACTCTAGGGTTAGATTATCTTTTACATATACGGGTGTTTTTTTAATATATCCAATTTCAGAATAAACAAATCTTTATTTTGCTCTCTCCCTTTTACATTTGTTATCTTCTTGAAATACATTTTCAATGGCGTTTATTTTGTCTTAGTATTGTCTTAGCAATGCTACATAAAATATTCCTGTATATTCTTCCATTTCTTTTCTCACATATTACATAATTTGCTCGTTATACAGCTAATTGGTTTACAATATATCTCACTTTTCTTGAAATATATATCTACTATTTTGTAAATTACAGCTGCATACTGGTGTTTTGTGCCACAGAGAATAAAGTTCTGTGAATTAAATATGACAGTTATAACTAAGTTAGTACTATATAGGAAAAATAGAGATTAAAATACAGATAATTATCACTCAGTCATGTTGATTTCTTCCTGTCTGCAAAATTTTGTTTCTGCAGCAAAAATGAAACATCTCAACCTGTCATTTGCAGCTTGTGGATTTCTGGGTATATACCACTTGGGGGCAGCATCTGCTCTTTATAGGCATGGTAAAAAGTTACTGAAGGTTGTGAAGGCTTTTGCAGGAGCTTCTGCAGGATCACTGGTTGCCACAGTTCTGTTAACAATGCCAGAAAATATAGAGGTAATTGAAGAGTAACTGATTCACTTTGACCATAGATTTTTTTTTTAACTTACATTTCTAAAGTAAGGTTTTTAGATTGGCACTACTTTTATTTGGTGAACAGTATTTTTAAGTTCTTGTCTAGGAGCAAAGCTTATAATTCTTTGTTTTCCCTCATATAGAAAGTGTGTGCGTATATTCCTCGTACAGTTTTAAAAACACTTATCAGCTTTTGATGTGCCCAAGTTACATCAGAAGATTGCACTTTAGCTGTATAATAAAGTCATATGGCATGCATACACATATACTGTTTGTATCCTTAGAATTTAAGACAGTGGTTCTCATCAGGGTGCCTATGGTTCCCTGGGAGTCCATGAGCCAATTTCAGGACCGTCTGCAAGCTCTAAGCCTAGTGTCCTATAGAGAAGCCTTGACCCCAGAGGCAGAGATGGAAGAAGGTTTGGGGATGCATTGACTCCCAAGCTGCAGTGCCATAACGTAAGCAGGCAGTCCCAGCAGTAGCTTCATAAACCTCTCCACCTCCAAAACCCTGCCCCCTGACTAGGTGGGCTGTGGGAAGCTGGAGCTGGAAAGTGTGGAATAACTGCTGTTCTAGCTGAGGTAACAGAGGGTGTAGTGCCGCACTCCATCGTTGTGTCCTAGTGCCCAGGGCTGTTACTACTCCTTAGCTTCCAGCCCCCTTTGACTGCTTACACAGCCAGGAAGAGCCACCAGGGTTCAGAGACTTGGTTCCAGCAGTGCCTTCACGGAGCAGCAACTGGGGGACAGGGTGGCCTCCTGGCACAATCTGTAGCTGCCCCATGAGCTACCCTGGCCTGTATATAGTCCCTAGTAGACCTCTCACTGCACCTCAGAAGTTTTCAGTCTTTTTGAGCTGAGCTCCTACTCTTTGAGTTATATTTTTTGTTTGCGCCTCCCCCTTGAATGGTCAGTTGAGTTGGATGGGAGAGGTGACACTCCCTTCCTGAGGCCTGCTGTGTCAAGGTGGCCCAAGCATTGCCCCCACCCCATATAGAAGTCAGTTTATTACTATGCCCAAGGTCCCTGGACAGTGGCCAGATGCCATGGCAGGGCAGAAGCCCAGAGGGCCCCGCTGTAGGTGCTTGAAGCCCACAGTCCGTAAGCCTCACCACACCTCTGCCTCAGGCCCTGGAGTTTTTATAGTATGTTGCAGGGGCTACAGAAAGAAAAAGGTTGAGATCCCCTGGTTTAGGAGGTACTATGAAAAGGGAAGAGGTGAGTGAGATTTGTATTAGTTATAGCTTTTAATTTTTTTAATGTTTGATGTAGAAAAGTAATAAGTTTCTTTCCTAGGCTAGTTGTTACAGCCACTGCTGATACTGTTCAGTAAACATGAAGTGCTGTCTTTGAAAGGAAGAAAATATAAGAAACAGATAATATCAGTCAAAGTGATTCTCCATTTTGTCCAAGGTCTACTTTGGTAGAACAAAGGGGGGCATATTAGTAAGAATCCAGGCCTGCACAATTTGCGGCTGTCCTTGAGAACTTATGCCAGTAGAGGATGATGCATACCAGTTGTAGAACTCTGCTCTACCACTCTCCTGCCCCACCCAGGCCTTACCCTCCAAAATAATCCCCTCCTCCTTAGGTTGGAAGTGGGGAGGGAGTGGTGAAGCAGCAGAACTATCTAATGGAGCGTTCTCTGCAGCAGCAGTTCTCCGTGCTATCTAGGCTCATTAAAGATCATTTTGCGCTTCTTATGCAGTCCAAAGTGGCCTTAATAGACCAGAGAATCCAATCGATAATGTAAAATAAAACTATAATGCACTGAATACTAGCCAGTGTTCCCTCTATTTTTTTCCATTCATGTTCAGGGTACGTGTTGTTATGTGCACTGGTGCATGTGCTGTTGTGCACCACCAGTAAAATCAAAAATATCTCTAGATTGAAAATATATATTTTTTAAAGTTATCATATGAATAATTACTCCAACCAGGACAGGTTAGAACTTACTGTTTTGACCTATAAAAATAAGTTGGTCTCAGACTTGTTTAAAGTCAAGATTTGTTTCTAGTACAAAACAGTTGGCATTAATTCACATACATACTGGCAATCTGGACAGAGAGCCTGATCAGAGAGACTAAATTGTTCTCTATCACTAGGGTGATTGTTTAGGTGGGCCACATTCACTGTGAATAAGAAGCCTTCTTTTTTCACAGTGGTCAGTCTTTACCTTTTCTGAGTACTGATTTTTATTAATACATAACCAAAACAAACAACAAAACATCTGTAAACTGATGTCTCCAAGTGGTTGAACCAAAATTTTATTTTTTTATTTACTTATTGCAACAAATTCAGTATTTCACCATGCAGGAAGCTATTAACCGAAGAAGTCTAAACTATTTATATACCATTCTAATGTGTAACTGAATACTTACATGGTTTGGGGGACATGTTTCTTAAAAAAACGGTTTTGAAAACTGCATTGCAGGTTCTTTAAGACACTAGAATGAGAACAGCTCTTTTCACAAAATGTTATTGGAATTCATACAGATACAGTTTTTCTAATGTCAAGAATTCAAAGTCCAAAGCTAGATCTCCCTGAAAATTATTTTAAAAGCAAATAAATATTGGGTTCTTTTGATTTGCCTTCTGACAGTTGAGCTTCTGGTATTTCAGGGTTCAGATTTCCAAACTTTGATAGCCAATTATGGGGTTTGGAAACTTTCTTTAAAAAAAAAAGTGATACTTTTTCCCTTTTTGTATGTGACATTAAGACCTGGGAATTAAAACATTGGGTGCTGCAAGACTTGTCAATAAACTGATGAGAGATGGCAGTATATTCAGTATTTGCATGCGAATATTAATTGAATATGTTGTGACAAATATATTTACTATACATAAAGTAATTGTGTTCAGCAACTTCAGAGATCTGGTTCTTCATTACATATAGAAAATGAAATTATTGGGGTGATTTTATAGGATCAGAATTGTGGAAGGCACTTAGGGGTATGTAGATTAGTCTCTTGTGAGTCAGAAATTCTGTTCTATTTATTCCATTTCAAATTGATTGTATTTACTGCAGATTAATTCTCAGAGGGCATGTCTACATAGCAGGGCTAACCCAAAATAAGCTATGCAACTTGAGCTACACTAATTATGTAGTTTAAATCGAAATAGCTTATTTCAACTTTTGGTGCAGTCTACACAGCAGTTATTTTGAGAGAGGGCACTCTTCTCCCATCTTCCCTTACTCTTCATACAATGAGGGTTACAGGAGTTGGAGTAAGGAGTCCTCCAGCTCGACATTGAAATAACTGCCTGCTGTGTAGACACAGACTAAGTTATTTCAGAATGTCAGTTATTCTGAAATTACACTGCTGTATAGACATACCCAAAATGTCCTATATGCATCAGTTTTGCTTACCCGCTTCAGTTGTTACCAGCGCTTGCCAATTTTTCCCAGTAACTGCAGAAATCTTGGAGTTAAAGGCTTTTGCATCAATGAGGAAGGAACCTTTAAATACCTTTTCAGTGTTTCTTTTAAAATGGTTGTCTTAAAGTACATCATCTGTATTTGTATCATTTAAGTGAATTTTAAGAGGACATTGTCCATTGAAAATCTCTAATATAAAAGCTAATTTTTGCATTGTTACATGTCCATGGATTCCTCATATAATGGGTGGGTCATAGAAAACAGCATACCTCTAGGTCTAGGACAGTGTTCCCTGTAAGTCTTTCTACCCATTTGCAGAATAAATTTTATGTGCACCAAGACACGTGTGGATATGCATCACCAATAGTAACACACATTGCCAGGTGTACCCGGCTGTGGGCACTCTGCTAATGAGCCCGACTGGCCTGGGTGGCTGCCCAAGTGCTCAGGGAACACTTCTCTGGGATTTTTCTTTCACCTGGAAACATATACTATGTATATAACTTACACATTATTTTCCACCACACATAAGTGAGGTGGGTGTGCTGTAAAGTAGTTCTTTATCCACATCTGGTTTATCTGTAATGGGATATGAGCAAACATAGACTTTATCAATTATCTTATAACTCGTTTTTGGTAAAGTGTAAATTCTCATCAATTAATATTCTATGGGAAAACCATTTGTTACACTACAATTACCATTTGGTGTAATTCAGGTACATATATTTTTTATTAACAATAGAATCTTTTAAACTAAACATTTTAATTTTCAGGAATGTGAAGAGTTTACCTATAAGTTTGCAGATGAAATTAGAAAACTGTACTTTGGTGCAGCAACACCAGGTTATGATTTCATGACAAAACTTAGGTATGTATCTTAATATACTTTTCTAAGTTAAATTCAATATAAAAATCAAAATAAATGAAAATAGTGAAATTCAGCTTTCTTCTTCTGAAATATTTCAGAAGCTGTTCAGTAATTAATTGTGAATAATGTTAATCATTTTCTTTATTACAGGGCAGGTATAGAGTCTTTTCTACCGTCTAATGCTCATGAGATAGCAGAGAATCGTCTCTATGTATCAATCACCAACACTAAAAATGGAAAAAATCATTTGGTTTCAAATTTTGGCTCCAGGGAAGACCTCATTAAGGTAACAAAGTTGCATATCACCTCTGTAAATGAAATGAATGCCTGTCTCCTCAAGTTTGGGGCATCTTTTTTTTTTAATTAATTGGACTAATTCTTTTTACTGACTTGAGTAATCTGATTGGCTTCAGTGGGATTGCCAAATAAACAAGGCACTCAAAATTATAGAAGCTTAGTAACACCATTGTGGTTAAGGTTGTGTCAACTTATGTTTAAAGATAAGAGCTTAAGTCTTCTAAAATCAACTTACTTAATTCAATTCCTTTCAAATGTGGTGTGCCTCATGACGGTGCAGAATAAGGTTAGTGACCCAGAGTTGGGCTAGGAGTCCAGAGATACAAACCATGAAAAACACTACACATTTTTCAAAAAAGTTTCTAGGTAGTGTGGCTTTGTAGCAGTAGTTCAAACTAGAGCAGTAGTTCAAACTATTGATGTGATGCAAATCAAATGGTCTATTGAGTTTTACCCTCAGTTGTGCATAATGCCTGCTAAATCTTTGCTGGACCCAAAATGAGAACAGTATTTAAGAAAATATATATTATGTTCAGGTTGCATCAACCATACAGAAAAATCCCTACAAGATTTCCATTCCTGCAATTTTATGGGCTTTAAAGTTCAACTCTTGTACAGGCAGTCCCCGGGTTACATGGATCCGACTTACATCGGATCCCTACTTACAAACGGGGTGAGGCAACCCCGCACTAGCTGTTTCCCCCCAGCAGACTAGGGAGACGCGAAGCTAGCGCCTCCCCCAGCAGACCAGGGAGACGCAGAGCGGCTTTTCTCAGCAGACACCTCAGCTTGAGAATAAAGGACTGAGGGAAGTGAGGTGTGGGAGAATAAAACTGAGCTCTGGAAAAATGTTTGGCTAGAGTTTCCCCTACAATATGTACCAGTTCCGACTTACATACAAGTTCAACTTAAGAACAAACCTACAGTCCCTATCTTGTACGTAACCCGGGGCCTGCCTGTATATGAAAATAGCCATACTGAGTCAGACCAATAGTCTAACACAGTGTTCTGTCTTTGACAGTGGACAGTCAATGCTTAGAGGGAGAACAGATCAGAGCAATTTATTAAGTCCTCTACAGGGCATTCTTACTATAAATCACCTTGATATACATCCGTTCCGTACTTAAAGTTGTTGACGCTTGTAGGAATTGATGTGTTATAGTCCTCTCATTCCCCGCTTTTAAGTTGCACGCACACAAAATATTGCGCAAATGGAAGTCAGCTACAGGAAAAAAATCCCAGATTTAAGTTGTTTTGCTATAAGTCCAAGTTTTTTGGACCGTATCTTGGACTTCTAGCAAAGACAGCCAGTATCTCCTGACATCCAGTTTCATCTTTGGACAGCCAGAGGTTTAGGGACTTCCAGAGCATGATTACATCCCTACACATCTTGGCTAGTAGCTATTGAGGGTAGTTATCCTCTATGAACTCACTAATTCTTTTTTGAACCAATTTATAATTTTGGCCTTCACGACTCATGGCAGTGACTTACACAGGTTGGCACAAGTACTTCTGCTTGTTTTAAATCTGCCTGTTATTTTAATCAGGTGACTCCTAGGATACATCTACACTGTACACTTATTTCAAACTAAGCTATTTTGGAAGAAATACTTCAAAACAGCTTATTTCAAAATAGCACGGCTGCACTACAGGGAAGCCTCAAAATTAGTCCAAGGCAGGCTTCCCTAACGTGGACATGCTACCTCGATTTAGAGCCCCAGGATGCACTGCAGAGTAATTACTTTGAATGGCGCTGGGGAGGAGCTATTTCAAAATTGCAGCAATTGAGTGTCCATACTACAGATATTCTGAAATAGTTATTTCGGAATAGGCATTATTCCTCATGTAATGAGGTTTACAGAAGTTGGAATAAGCCATCTAGTATTTCAGAATAACAGAATTGCTGTGTAGATGTTCACATTGTTATTTTGAAATAACGTGAGTACAACTGTGCTGTGTAGACGCACCCCTAGTTTATGTTGTGCTGGGTCAGTCAGAGATCCCCTTGAGGCTGTCACTCGATGTGGTGAAATACCACTGAGCCAGTCTTCCCGGGTACTTCTTTTATTCTATCTTGCTAAAGTAGGCCCTCTGGGCTCCTTCAGCACTGACAAAGAGTTGGTTCACACCCTATGCAGAATTATATAGACGTTGAAATCAGGTCAGCTCTGGGAAGGCTCAGTAAAAGGGACATGTGACAGCCTCCAGGTGCACATAAATCTGTCCTTCTCTATATACAGTTTTATACAAAACAAGCCCATATCACCTGCCCTCTTTCTTATGATAAAAGAGATATGCACAGATGCTCCCCTCCTCTACAGGTAACAATTGTTTACAATCGGTTTATTAATAGTCAAAAGTGATATTATGAAGTATAAAAAGTAGGATTTAAGTAATTGTAACTAATATCACACAAAGTAAGTTACTAAGCAAAATAAAACACCTCAGCTAACCCTAACACACTAAAAAAACTTGTTACATGATATTCTTGCGCCGACTATACGTCCCGGATTTTCCGGGACTATCCCAATTTTAAATAGTCCTGTCCCAGTGTCCCCATCAGGTAGTGAAATATCCAGAAGGACATTTTGGTATTGGTGCATATTTATGCAGTGTTTCTAAATGTCCTTCTGGACATTTCACTACTTGATGGGGACACCGGCCACTCTGCCACCCGTTGCCCCAGGGCCGCACGACCCCTTCCTTCCCTCCACTGCACTGCCCCTGGCACGTGGAGCCATTAGTCTGGCCTTTCCGGGGCGTTTGGCGGACTGGTAACATTTTATTTGCATAGTTTCACAAATATGTAATCGATATGCAAATATATATAAAATATTGCCAGTCTTCCAAAAGTTTGTGAATGGGGTTGCCGGTCCACAGTATAAAAAAGATTGGGAACTATGCACTGGGCTAGGTGAGGACAAGGACTGTGCTACACTTGGCCAGAGGAGGTATTGTTATATTCACACACCATCCCATACTCCACCTTTTTCTAAAATAAAAAATTGTTTTTTTTCTGCTGCCTGAACTGTTAAATTGAGAGATACCAATAACTGGAGGAATCACAGACCTTCTGGAAACAGATGGTTTTGACTCTTGAATTAACACTCTTCAGGTCATTCTTAAATATGTTATTTAGTTGCAAGCCTCCACCTAAAATAAAAGAAGTTATGGACTGAGTTGGAGGTTGACTGTCATGCTAATTCTTCTGCTGTATTCACAACAAACCTCCCCTTAAAATAAAAACATGTTATATTTTGACAGACGCAGCTGGTTACAAGTAGATAGTTTGGGGAATGTGCCAATGCCATTGTTGTTAGTGAACACCCACTGATGTTTCTGTGCAGTAAAGATTTAATAACTCATGTTATTAGCAGCTGGTCTAACCAAAATGTTTGTTTCTTCAAGTGGGAACTACAGAGGACTCTGTGGTAGGAGGACAAGAAAGGGATTGCTGTTGTTGAGGTAGTAAGGAAATAATGATATATAAACAAACCGGCTACGTCTACATTGGCCCCTTTTCCGGAAGGGGCATGGTAATTTTTGAAATCGCAATAGGGAAATGCGCGGGGGATTTAAATATCCCCCGCGGCATTTAAATAAAAATGTCCGCCGCTTTTTTCCGGCTTTTAGAAAAGCCGGAAAAGAGCGTCTACACTGGCCCCGATCCTCCGGAAAAAGCGCCCTTTTCCGGAGGATCTTATTCCTACTTTGAAGCGCCCTTTGAAGCGCCTTTGAAGCGCCCTTCAAAGTAGGAATAAGATCCTCCGGAAAAGGGCGCTTTTTCCGGAGGATCGGGGCCAGTGTAGACGCTCTTTTCCGGCTTTTCTAAAAGCCGGAAAAAAGCGGCGGACATTTTTATTTAAATGCCGCGGGGGATATTTAAATCCCCCGCGCATTTCCCTATTGCGATTTCAAAAATTACCATGCCCCTTCCGGAACAGGGGCCAATGTAGACGTAGCCACCCTGTATTGTCTGAGACTATCTATTTTACTTGTCCTTAGGAAGGGGAAAAGGAGGTAACAGCAAGTAGCTACTTCTTGGTATTGGTGCATATTTATTCAGTGTTTCTAAAACACACACAAGGTGGAAGTTTTTAGTTGATTGCACAGGTACCTGGACTTGTGAGGGAAAATAAATATGTCCACTGCCAGGGTTGCCAGCATGTGAATTCTAATATATATCTGGATAACAATGTTACAGAAGTTTGCAGGAGAACAAGGAATAAACCATGACATGGGAATTGCTGACTGGGCTGATTTGAGTGGAGAGAAGTGGCCTATGTTGGCATCAAGTTTTGCCCACTCTGTAGCATTTAACTGATGGCTTAGCAGCTTGTGATCTACTAGTGATAGTGGTGATTCACTTGGGAGACAATGTTCAGGATCCTATTCCTGATGTGCGTTTCAAATGGTATATAAGATCAGATTAGGTCTGCAAGAGCAAATTTGTGTCCAGCAGCAGTGACTGATGTCTCTGAATTAGTTGAGTGTCTGAATAACTGCTACTGTGACAATATAATTAATATTAGTAAGTGTTAGAAGAACATTAAATCAGGAAATTGTAGGGGTTTTGGCTGATTAAATATTTTTAATGTATGGCAAAGAAAAATTGCAAGCTATGACACTTCTCTCTTTCTCAACGATTGGGTACATCTGTTAGGGGTCAGAGTCTCTTTTTCTCAAACATAAAACTATCAGTATTTTAGAACAGAAATCCCACCTGTGATTTCTCTTGCCATCCCTGGCCAAAGTCCACTGTCCAACCATTCTGAGTCATGAGTCATGGTAAATATCTACATGTATCTGTGCAACTACAGACATGACACCTGGCACATGGATTGGTGCTTGAATTGTTCCATAAAGTGGCCGTGGCACAGCCAAGAGCTAGCTGCTGATCCACATATTCATCATTCTCGCAATGAGTAGTTGGTCCTGCTTCCTGTGTGTCCTCTTTCTCCAGGAACTTCTGGAGCAATCTCTCCCCAT